GTGTATTTTATTTCAACCAAAAGAATAAGGAAATTCAGTCAAGTATAAAATATTTTTTAAAGGAATACCTCTATTGTATTACCTAGTACTGTATATTTTAATGATAAACTTTTTAGATATGCCATAGATTTAGAATATAGAAGAGCCTTTAATACATCACACATAATTATATAAATAACTGGTTATTGTAATTAACTTGTGGGAAAGAAATCAAGAATAGGAGTATATAATAGAACTACAAATGAGATGGTTTGTCTAAACAGATTATTGATTTTTACTACGAAATTATACTACGGAGTATTATATATTCACATAATGACACATTAATACGACTAACACTGAGACATGAGAAAGATGTGTGGTTATTAAGAAAAGTGGGTTATGTGATTGATGTTGAATTGATAAAGTAAGTAAAGTAAGAATAATTTAGAATCGCATACGAAGTATATTATATCGAATTTAGTATATGACAATCTTAATGAGACAGAAAGAAAGAAAGATGTAGAATCTAAGCGGGACTGAGAGAGTAGTAATTATTCACATTTAAGGGAAAATATAGTATATATTTTAGAGAAGTCAGTTTCTTTAATTCTTACTCATGTCTAGGGCAAATTCTTTGAATTTTATATATCAATGGAGTGACAAAATTGCCTAATTATGAATATACTCGGTATGTTATTAATTTACTTTCATCTTACTCATATCTCTACAACAAATTCCTTTAATTTTATATATCAATCGAGTGATAGAATTGCCTAGTTATGAATATACTCCGTATGTTATTAATTTTTAAAAAGGCATAAGTATGTATTAATTTCAATATCATCTGCCATACCATTTTTACTGTATTGAATGTCATTTATACCATCGGTAGACTATTTATTGTTAAATGTTAATGGGATGGCATAAAATTATAAAAATAATACCCAGTATAACAATAAGGGAATATTGTACGTCTAATTAGCATATACCCCATGGATAGCAACTTCACAAGTAAAAATGAAACTTGGTCAACTAGGTTCTCAAATCTTAGGTACAGTGGGCAGAGTTTATGGATATGTACAATTTGAGAAATAAAGAAAAAAGCTGGTATTAAGTGCCAAAATTTTCAAAATTTCATCAGTAAAACTTGCTTTAATTTGCTCGAGTGGAATGGACACATTTTGGAAGTATGTATACTATTGCAAATATCGACACCAAGCCAATTAAGAAGCTGTTCTTGTCTTTTTCTTATTACTTATTATTTATTTTTATTTTATTCGGATCAAATTAGATCAGATCAGAAAAAATCAGATCAGATTAGATCAGAAAGATTCAGATTAGAAGCATTAAGATAATATCAGAAACATTAAGATTATATCAGACCAGATAAGAAACATTCAGATCAGATCAGAGATATTCAAATAAAATCAGAAACATTCAGATCAAAAGACTTCAAACATGATTTATCACTTTTATTATTCTAATAATTTTAGTAATAATAATAATAATCATTATTATTATAATTATTATTAATACTATTATTATTATTATTATCATTATTATTATTATTACTATATACTATCCTCCGTTCCATAAAAGTTGCAACAGTTTGACTTTCACGTTTGCCAATGCGCAACTTTGACTGTAATTATATTTATTTACGTATTAGTAAACATTAAAAAAAGTTAATATATTAGAAATTTACATTAATACAAATTTATTAATATTTTATACATAATGTTTTTATTATATATATTATTAGAAAATCGTAGTCAAAGTAAGGTGTGTGAATAGTGCAGAAATTCCAATGTTGCAACTTTTATGGAACGGAGGAAGTATATTATTATTATTATTATTATTATTATTATTACTATATTATTATTATTAATATTATAATTATTATTATTATACTTAGTATTTATAATTATAATTACAATTATAGTTATACTTATAATTATATTTACAATTACAATTACAATTATAACTATAATTATAGAAATACATGTGGAGTATTATATTTATAAGTACAATTATAATTATAGAAATAATTATAATGAAAAATATAATTACAATTATAATTATAGGTATAATTATAATTAGTGTAATAGGTATAATTATTATAATTTGAATTTTAATTACAATTATTATTATAAATATAATTATATTTATTTTATACTAATTATTATAATTATAAATATTTTTAAATTATAATTATAATTATAGTTATTATAATTATAGAAATATTCAAATCATACCGAATTAGAAAGATTCAGATCTAAGTTTTTTAAAGCCCGGATTACAGGGATCATGTTTATGTTATCAGAAGTCATAAGTTTTTACTCGTAGTGAGTTACAGGGGCTATATATGGTATATCATTATATCAAATCGAAGATATTTTAAAGGTCTGAACTCTCAAACTTTCAGCGGAGTCGGCTGATCACCGTGAATTCCTTGACTCGGCCACTGGTTGTTTTTTAAGCGTGATATTATTATCTTTACCCAATATAAAATCGTTATTTTAATAGGCACCCTATAATCAAAATAAGGGAAAAGGGGCAAATAAGGCCACGTACTAACCCAAAAAGGTCAAATAAGGCCTTATTTATGAGGCTCTGTCCGGCCTTCGCCGTTAGGGTTGGTTCTCGATGGAATTTTTTGATGAACTTTTTTGAGCATCTTATTCAGTAAGTCTAGTTTACTCATACCAAATTTAAGCTAAAAATTCAATAGGGAAGCCATTCAAATGAATTCTTTAAGATAATTGCGCAGTTAAAAGCGCGGTTATCTTCAAGAATTCATTTGAATGCCTTCTCGATTAAATTTTTATCTGAAATTTGGTATGAGTAAACTAGACTTAATGAATAAGATGGTAAAAAAAATCATCAAAAAATTCCACCGAGAACCACCCCAAATGGCTAAGGCCGGACAGAGCCTCGTAAATAAAGCCTTATTTGACATTTTTTGGTTAGTACGTGACCTTATTTGCCTCTCTTCCCATCAAAATAATGATAGCGCAGCATAAGTTCTAAATTTGAAATTTCTACATATAAGTTCTGTGATGGAGAGAATAAGCAAACACAAATATTTTGTCTCAACCGGAAAGTTGTTTAAGTTTATTTTTCTAAAGTATAAAGCATTTTGATTAGTTTTTTACATGATGGCCCAACAGAGTCGCAGGGTGTATAAAATTATAAATTAACCCGCACGGATAGCTCAGTTGGTCGAGTGGTGGGAAATTTGGATCAATTGACTAAGCTTCGAATCCTCGCAGCGATCGCGTGGAGGTCACAGAACCTTAAATAAGACTGAGCTTCTGATTGACATGGGTGTATGGGCCTACTGCCATTCTGCTGACTGAGTCGTCGTGACTAACCTCCCCACCTTCTTGTCAGGTCGGGGTGAGGCTCCTAGGGCAGGAGATTCCACCTTTTCTTGGATCAATTATAAATTAATAATTCGTCATCCGAGTAGTCGTTGCCTAAGAAAATGATTGCGGCGGAAACGGGGATCTTTATTCAAGATTCCATGCTATTTGGTAAACGGTGGTTTATTGCGTTACTAGCTTATTACTCGCTTACATGTGAAATGTGAATATATGTCTATGGTATGTCGAGATCTTCCAAGTATTAGGATTTTTCTTTTCCCTTGAAATTTGTTGGTCTGTCTGTTCTAGTCTGATGTGAATTGATTTGGTCTGATCTAATAAATGTATTATTTCTATGTATTTTATAACTAAGGAAGTCTGGTTTTAGATTAAAAATTGAAGAAAACAAATTTGATTATGAGCACACATTATTACCGGTGTTGTGCAAAATTGAAACATAATTATATTTCTAAAAAAACTCTGAATGCAACATTGTCCATGAGAGCTAGATATTGGCACTAGGCACAATAATAAGACTATCATATTTTGGTTCTCTAAATAGGAGTATTCAATGTCAAAATAATATCATGTTTAAAATATAATAATGTCAAAATACGATAATAGTTACTTTACTTACTTATATTAAAAGGGATAAAAACATGATAAACTTGTTTTGGAATTCATAAACATTTTTATACTTAGAGAGAATTATTATAAATATTACTAAAACTCATGTGTTTTCCTAGAGTATGACTAATTATGTTTTTTTCCTATAATGATGCATGTTGTCATCCATATGATTAATATTGACATCCTATTTTTTAGAGACAACCGTGTAGCACTTCATCTTTATTGATTGCTCCTATTTTTGTGCCACATAATTTGGTCATACACCACATCAAAAAACATCTGTAGTCATATTTTAGGAAAAGTGGTGAGTTTTAGTAATATTAGAGTATTTTTCTCTTATACTTATTAAGAATAATTTCTTTATTTTTTATTGGACTACTTTCGAATTTCAATATGAAATTAGACTAGAGTAGACAAACATTAAACTTAGAATTTGTTAATGCTATCTTTATTAATTAGGAAATTACATAATTATGATCATATAAGAAATAAATACATATTTATGAATAACTTAATTTAAAGATTATTAATAAAAAATATGACTAATCACTACGTACATTAATAATGGAATCATAGTAACTTATTTTGAATTGTTAAACTAAAATTATCATGACATTACATTGTAGTAACCACTAATCATATTTGTATAACTAAATTTATTTTAGTAATATTTCTGAAACCCCCCAAAATATAATGATAAGCGACAAATTCGATCATATTCACCAAAAATTAGCGGATACATCATGTACGATAGAAGACCAAAGTCAAACACCTATTCGGTAGAGTGTGATTAGAACTCTTATAAGAGTTGTAAAGTCAAAGAAGTACTATTCCGCAGAGTATGACTAGAACGGTTAACACGAGTTATACGGAGATTTTTATTCCATTATCCATGCTTAGACTAAATATCCTATCTCAGTATCTTTTGTAAGCTTCATTATGGCTTGAATAGTCATAAATAGAGACAAATTAGGGTAGGGAAGGTAGAAAAAGCTGAAAAAGAATACTTAATTATTAGCTCACTTGTTGCAATTAGAGGAGTTGAATGAATCTCCTGATTGGCATGTTCCTTTCCATGCTTTTGGAATTTCTCCCAACCCATCATCTCTGAAGCTCTGGGATTCTGGCCACAATCCTGACCATCCACCACCATCATCATAACATCAAACATCCATCATCATCATCATTCACATGAATCCATTTCTCACTATATCTACACCTCCCACCACCACCACTCACATTATTAATATCACATTCCTCCAAAAAGAGTGTCTTTTTAATTAATACCATCTTAAAATTATGTTACACCAATTGTTGTATGATCTTAAAAAAATCCTTGTTTATATTTATAGTTCTCCATTTTAATTGTATTCACTTTTGGTAGACAACAATTTACATAATGAAAAAAATTCAGCCACACACAGACACACCAAAAGTGAAAAAGATGTGTGAAAGTGAAAATAATCTTATAATTGTGTTATTTTACAAAACAACCACTAAAGGTATAATTTAGTGAGGTTTAGTTCTAAAAAATCAACAAAGTGTAAACTTTAACATACATGCAAGGGACCAGAGTCACTAAACTGGATTTAATTAACTTGATTGCAATAAAGGCAAGAGATCAGATAAATAACTATACCACTGTCAAGAACCCCAATGATGACATTATTCCCATAATTAGATTTGAGCAGCAAATCTTCTTTCTTCAGGGTGCTTTCTGCTTCTATCTCTGGTAGCCCAGAAAACTCCCAGGACCTTGTTGTATGCAATCTGTATTTTCTTGGATTACTTTCATACACAGACACCACTTCCTCCAACCCTATTGAAACACACCCACAATTTTTTTCATGAGCTTCATCTTTTATCATTATTATAAATAAAAAGAACATTATTCATCATTAATTACCAGATAATTTGGAGGCTTCATCAGGGGAGAGAACAGCAGCAAAGCCATTGATGCTATGCTTGTAACTGTAGAGAAGAGAGGATTTAGCATCTTCCTCACTTTTCTTCACTGACAGTAGATAGGAGTGGTGGGTATCTTCAATCTCTTGTAATTCTTTGTCCCCTTTGTGTTCTCCAAAATAAACTATATAAACCTGTTTCATATGTAATTAATAACAACATATTAACTTATAGTCCTATGGGTTATGGTTGCAATATATGTAAATATGTACGTGTATTTACATAATTAAAAGCATTTACAGAATGGATGAGAATGGACCTTTTCATCATCGCATGAGGCCAATATGGGAAGTAGGATGAAGAAAAATAATGCAGTATGGAGTTGAGTCATTGTTAATACGAAGTAATAATATGTTAAAGATGTAAGGATTTAAGCTTTATGTATTTATAGATCAGATTCATACATACAGATTATATTCTACGTACTGATCGAGCGTGATGTGTACTTTCATAAAAGGGCCCACATGAAACAAAATAAGCTACCGGGTTGGCCCAAACCGGATAACAGAACTGCATTTTAGCAATGAATCACGTCACATAATTTTTGTACACTCTCCTGATTTATCCTTTTAGTCACTTGATGAATCAATTTTTGTGGGTTTAGTGATTCCATTCGTGTTAAATTATGTTTTACCATTGTTTAAATCTTGTATGATTTGATCTATTTAGGACTAAAATCAATCCAATTAAACACACTTTGGGTAGTTAATGTGTGACCGATTTATGTTTTACTGGATCATTTCAATTAAAATTAAATGGTCTCAACTCATCTGATTTGAATTGGCTTTTTCCTCTAATCTAATCTAATCTAATCTAATCTTATGTTACTAGATTTTTTTAGTTTAGCCCAGTTTATTTCCATAAGGTTTGGTTTTGTAAGGTTTGGTATTATGTGCATTTTAATGTTATACTCCCTCCGTCCCTATATAAAAGTATCCATTCGTTTTCAACACATTTTAAGAAAGTGGGTTTGGTTGGTACTGTTTAGCACTGTTTAGACACTGTTTGACACTGTTTTGCACTGTTTTGCACTGTTTTGTTTGCCAAAAAAGGAAAGAAAACTTTTATTTAGGGACGGCCCGAAAAAGAAACGGATGCTTTTATAAGTCTAGTCTTACTTTAATTTGGCATGAGAGTGAAATGACTGGAAGCCAAAACATTCCTGATCTCAACTTAGTATGACATATGTTGTGTGCATTTATTGTTGTCGTGTATCTCATCTAGTCCGTGTACTCTTCAAAGTTTCGCAAGCCCGTGATTGCTAGAGTTAAAGGGATCAGATTACTTAATCATGTTTTTAGTGTCAAATTCTTTTTTTTTTGTTATGCATCATGACAATCACTGATGGAGTATATGGCCCGGGAACACCCGACCCACAGACTCCTACTACTCCAGTGAAAGCCCAACAGGCCCAAAAGGCCCAACAAGCCCAAATCACAGCGCCCAGAGTACCAAGCAGCCCGCAAAGCGCACCAAGGGTGCCTTCGGCCCCCCGGCCGAAGGCTCTAAATTCTCACAGAACGGGTTTTCCAAGCAAACTAAGAAACTGGGAGAAAAACGGCAGAAAACAGTAGCCCTCGGCATCTGGAGCCCTCGGCATTCAGGGGTCCTCGGCACCAAGAGCCCTCGGCTAGTCCTCTGCAGCCGAGGGCACCTCTCCCGACATGATGCCCGCCTCACATGCGTACAGATCACTGTACCCTGTACAACGTCCCATCCAACAGCCGCATTAAATGCGGCCACATGCGTTTGCCAGCGCCAACCGGATGAGGTGACCTCTCGGCCAATGGATGCTTGACACGTGTCCCTGTCCGGCATTTATTGCTACTATAAATAGCACCCCCTTTTTCCCCGTTGTAGACCATGACATTCATACTGAATACACTCTCTCTCTTACTTATTTGTGTTCTGACTTCTCTCTAAGTTATTCTCAGCAATAACCCCTCGGATATATACCCCCCGGGTAGACTATCCATCATTTGGTGCTCTCGTTGAGAGGTCGAACAATCGAGTAAGAAACCCTCCCCCTTCGCCAAACACTAGCCCTCTACCAAAATGGTGAGAACAACACGTGCCAACTCTAAAAACGTAGAAGACAAGAACCTGGCCCTCGGCGACGTCAACGCCCCCGAAGCCTCTCACAGGGCTCCCGAGGGCGGTGTCATCGCTGGGCTGGAACAGGCGGCTGTCGACCTACGCCTTCAGATCCAACAGAATGCCCCCGATGCCCGCCTCGGCATCGAGGCCAAGAAGAAAAACCGGAGCGATGACCAAGTCAGCCCTCCGGTTCTCACCAACGACGTGCAATCGGCGCTCTCCGCCTTCATCCAAACGCTCACTCAGAACCCGGGTGCCTTCGGCACCCTGGCTCCGGCTCAACCCCAGGTTGGGGAGAACATCATACTTCCCCCTCTGCCACACCCCTTCGGAAACCCCACCCCTCGGGTTAGGAACGACGAAGGGGTAGTGGCCCAAGATACGTCCTCCCAGGAAGTTCAGTCCCGGGACCGCCACAATGACAACAGAGAAAGGCCCCGCACTTCCGCCCTCAACCGGCTCGGAGGAGGGCCAGACCGCCGAGGGGTCCAAGACCGCCTCGGAGGGAAAGCACTCCAAAGGCCCCATGAAAGCGGAGGGTCTGTTTCGAGGGCAGATGAGGAGCGTCCCCCTCGGGACAAAGGCAAGGCACCCCTTCATGCCGATGATGCTCGCCACCAAATCAACCAGACCCACTCGGCCCGGGTTCGTTCGCAGGGGGCGGAGACCCTCCCGAAGGATCCCCGGGACGAGATTATTGCGGCCCTCCAACGCCGGCTTGACGAAATGGAGGCCAACAAAGCTCACGCCACCACCTCCACCCCTCATTCAGACCTCAAATACGAAGCCATGATGGCCAAAATGGAGGAATTACAGAAGAAGGTAGCCGAGGGCTCCGGGGAACCCGTCATCCAGCTCCGGACCCGGACGCCGTTTACCCCAAGGGTACTGGCGGCCCGGATCCTGGAAAAATACCGAGGGCAACGCATACAGCCCTACAACGGGAAGACGGACCCCCAGGAACACTACAGCAAATATCAGAACAACATGATGATGGTAGGGGCGTCGGACGAATATTTGTGTCGTTGGTTCCTCTCCACCTTAGAGGGGCCGGCATACGAATGGTTCAACCGGTTGCCCGAGGGCTGCATTGATTCGTGGCAAGAACTCGCCCAGCGATTCTTGACACAATTTGCCGGGAGGCGTCGCACGAGGAAGCACTTCTCCCACCTCCTAACCATACGCCAGAAGAGGGATGAGACCCTTCGGGACTTCCTGGAGCGCTGGAGGACGGAAGCCGACAAAGTCGACGGTGCTGATGACGGGACTCTCCTGGCCCTCCTACAGACCGTCCTCCGCACCGGCAACTTTTCAAAGAGCCTCATCATTGAACCCCCCCACGACTACATAAGGGCTTTGCAGCGGGGGGACCGATATGCTGAGGCCGAGGAGGTGGAGAATTACCATCATCATCCAGACCAGCAGCCCCCGAGGGCTGACAACAAGAATAACCGGGGGCTCCTCCAAATCACCCCAAGTCTTCAGGACCCTCTGATGATCGCCCTCGGCAAGGCCAAGCCAAGCCCGGGGGAGGTTATATGAGCAGCCCTAAGACTTGGGCACAACCCATTCTCCTGGACCGCCCCCGGACACCGTTGACGCACCCCGTCAGCATCATCCTTGATTTTGCTGAGGAGAGGGGCCTCGTTGAGCGCGATTCTCGCGCACCCCCGGAGGTACATGCTATCAACCCTCAGTTCCCATACTGTCGCTTCCATCGGCATCAGGGGCACAGAACCGATGACTGCCACCAACTAAAAACGGCCATCGAGAGATTGATACAAGCGGGGCACCTGTCCCAATTTGTTCAGAGCCCTCGGCAGGAGGGACCTTCTCATCAGGGACCTCCCCGAGGGCATCACATGAAGGTGAACGCTTGGGTGAACCCGAACACCATCCCCCTCGGCAAGAAGAGGGAGATCAGAAACTTGGAGGAGGAAGAGGAGGAGTACCCCCACTACCAAGAGAAAAAAACGCCACATCCTCATGATCACCGGCGGCAATACAGGGGGCGATTCCACCGGTCAGCGGAAAAAGTGGGCTCAATCTCTTTACGTGGGGGAAGTCACCCATATGCCCCCGGTAAAGCGGCTGAGGGAGGAACCCATCACCTTCACCAACGCAGATCTCCCTCCTACTTCTTCTCCTCACAGGGATGCCTTGGTGATTCGGACTGAAATAAATGACACCATCATTCACCGAACTTACATTGACACGGGCAGCTCCGTCAATGTAATGTACCTCAGCACCTTCAGAGAGCTGCATCTGGAGAGGGGGTCCCTTCGGCCCATTAAGACCCCTCTTGCCGGCTTCACCGGCGATACTATTGATTCCGAGGGGGTAATAACCCTCCCGGTGATCTTCGGCGACGGGCTCCATAGAGCCCAGCTCGAAGTGGAGTTCGTCATCGTAAACATCGACTGCGCCCACAACATCATCCTCGGCCGGCCAGCCCTTGAGGACCTCGAGGCCATCATCTCCATGAGGCACCTCTGCCTCAAGTTTCCCGCCGAGGGGGGCATTGGCTACTCTCGGGGGAATCAGAAAATCGCCCGCGTCTACTATCTTCAAGTCACTAAGAAGGTAAGTAAGACGGAATTCCGTGTTGACACCATCACCGGAACCATCGACCAAGAAGAAAAGAGACTAAGGGCTGAACCAGCCGAGGACGTAGAAGACTTTACACTCGATCCGGCCAAGCCGGAGAGAGTCGTAAAGATTGGAGCCCAGCTCCCTGAAGATCTGAAGACCGATATCATCGACGCCCTCCGCGCCTACTCCACCGTCTTTGCATGGGGGCCGGAGGACATGCCGGGAATCAGTCGAAGGGTCATCACCCACCGCCTCTCGGTGGACCCCTCGGCAAAAGCAGTACAACAATGAAGAAGACCCCTCTCCGCCGAAAGGAGGGAATTTGTGAAGAAGGAGGTCACCATGCTCCTCTCTATTAAGCACATCAAGGAGGTGAAATATCACTCATGGCTGGCGAATGTAGTCCTCGCACAGAAGCCCCCTACCTTCCGCATGTGCGTGGACTACACCGATCTCAACAAGGCGTGCCCTATGGATCCATTCCCTCTACCAAATATTGATCAACTTGTAGATGAGACCGCGGGATGTGAAATCATGTCATTCCTCGACGCATTCCGCGGGTATCATCAGATCTTCATGCATGAAGAAGACGCCGAAAAGACAGCCTTCATGACTCCCGAGGGCATCTTCTGCTACCTAGTAATGGCCTTCGGCCTGAAGAACTCAGGGGCCACTTACACCCGGAT